AAAAACAAAATAAAATTCTTAATTCTTTTTTTTGAAAGGTTAAAACAAAGTATCATTTATATTATTTAATGAACAGATAGTATTAAATAAAATCATTAATTTACATTGTTATACCATTCATTATTTATTAACCTTCTATTTCTTCTCATTACCTATTCATTAAAATATAACAATAAACATCTGGCAACTAGTTAAATAATTAACATCTAATCAACATTTATTTCTTTTCTTTATTCCATATTCATGGATATAACTTCTTCTACTGTAACTATTAGACTTTAATTTAGAATGCATTTGAAGTCAAACTTAAACTAAATGATGAAATAAATATCAGTAATAAGAAAATAATCTACATATAGAGTAATGTTTTGATAATGCAAATTCTTGTATCTTAATTCATATAAATAATATTTGTCAGCCACTCTGCAATCATTTGTAGGTTTTATACAGAATAACCTTTTATTATCTATGTTTGTACTATTTATCTATCTCTTAATGAACCTCACTTATTTGACTAAATTAACAGTTTATACAATATATATTATCATTTTAATTCAAAAAATAACTCAATTAATCATTACCATACAAATTCTTACGTTCTTTTTTCACATTTTCTATAAAACAAGTATTTGCAATGGATAATGAATTTTATTACATTGTGAGTTTGTATCAATCTTTTATTCTATAAATTAATTACTTCTCATATAATCAGATAAGTACTATACATCTTTATATTCTTTTTTCTGATTTATGTTTATTAGTATATCAAAGAAAATACAAAAATAAATATCAGCATCATTCTATGAACTGTTTTATTGTGAAATGAACAACATACTAACAAGAATTAATACTACTGTGTTATAAAACATGGAAAATATTGAGTTTGTTAAATTTAACAGTTACAGTAATCAGAGCGAATAGAACAATTCTATTGAATATTTCTTTTCTAGAAATAGTTTAATGTCATTAAAACATCATATGTATTATGTTCATTATTATGTTATTAATTAATTACTGAATCTAACATGTAGATTAACATAATTTAGAGTATCAAGAAGTAGTAGTTTGTAATGACTAGTATGAAAATTACCAAATCAAGTGGAACATAAAATACATAATACCAAAAATATTAAATAAAGAGTTTTACAAAGCATTGATTGTTATTTAACTCAATCATAGGTATAAACATTTAAATAAGAAATGATTTTACATTAAAATGAACAAAAAACAAACATAACAGAGTGAGGAAGTAATACCAAACTAAAGTAATACAAACTTCCTTATGTTTAAATGACAGTGAAAATATAATTCAAAAAGAAAATGTGTTTGTGTTAATTAAATAGTTAGAAAAAAAGTGTAATTTTAATTGACATTATTGACAGGAATTGTTATTTTTTATAAATTTAGAAATAATACAAACCAACTTGTTAAGTTTTATTCCTTAATTCTCTTTTTTAATTGACAATGAAATAAAATGAAGATGTATTATTTTCATTGACCAAATGAGATACATTCATAATAATGAAATTAAAGTTCAATGTATGAAGGTCAAGATAGAATGAGAATAGAAATTATAAGGCAAAATCATTTTTTTAACAAAAAAATTATAATAAAATTATTATAAAGAAGTTATTTTGATTGACAAAAACTAAAATACAACAAAAAATGTCAGTTAAAAGAAGAGACCATATATTAATTCCTAAAAACCCAGAAGCACCACTTCCTTCATTAAAAATAGAAGAAGTTGGAGAATGTACTATTGACAATATTTATGCATCACCAGAACCATTTGTTAATGGTATGACAATGAAATTATCAGCAGTCAAAAATCATGGAATAGAAAGAGATAGTGGAGAAGTAGAACTAGCAGGACCAATGGAAAAGATATTTTACAATCCTGAAACAACAAAAGTTGCCATTGTAACATGTGGAGGGTTATGTCCAGGATTAAATAATGTTATCAGGGGGTTAGTATTGAATTTATATAATCGTTACCATGTAAACAATATTTATGGACTAAGATGGGGATATGAAGGACTTGTTCCAGAATTGTCTGAAGTACAAAGACTAACACCAGAAATAGTTAGTGATATTCATCAAAAAGGAGGAAGTATATTAGGAACTTCAAGAGGGGCACAAAGTCCAGAGGTTATGGCACAATTTCTTATAGACAATAACTTTAATATTTTGTTTACATTAGGAGGAGATGGTACATTAAGTGGAGCAAATGCAATCAATAAAGAATTAAGAAGAAGAAAAGTTCCAATTACTGTTGTTGGTATTCCTAAAACAATTGATAATGATATTTGTTATACTGATTCTACATTTGGATTTCAAACAGCTGTTGGACTTTCACAAGAAGCTATTAATGCTGTTCATAGTGAAGCAAAATCAGCAAAGAATGGGATTGGAATAGTTAGATTAATGGGAAGAGATGCTGGATTTATTGCATTATATGCATCATTAGCTAATGGTGATGCTAATTTAGTATTAATTCCAGAGATTGATATTCCAATTACACAAATATGTGAATTTGTTGGTAAAAGAATAATGTCAAAAGGACATGTTGTTATTGTAGTAGCAGAAGGTGCATTACAAAATCAAAAACCTAAAGACCTTAATTTAGGAACAGATAAATCAGGAAATATTATTCATTGGGATTCAATCAATTATTTGAGAGACTCTATTACAAAATATTTAAAGTCTATTGGAATTGAAGAACATACAATTAAATTTGTTGATCCTTCATATATGATTAGATCAGCTCCTTGTAGTGCTGCTGATGCCCATTTTTGTATGTGTTTAGCTAATGCAGCAGTTCATGTAGCT